GTTAGAAATACAAAGCCCTTAAATTGGTGATTCAATATTTCACAAACAATAAAATGTCCCCAGTTCTCCTGACAGTCTATGAGGTCATCATATTGCATAACTTTTCATTAATCCTTTCATTTTTTTTCAACTGATTCTTACTCAGCTTAAGGTACAGTATTAGTTATCGTTGATGGAAATATGAAAATAAGATTCAATTTATGCAATCAGCAATTATTTCCCCCAAAATACAACCAGATAGCATCCTCATGGGTATCTAGTCATCTAAACAATACGCCTGCGTAACAGAGCCAAGAAAGTTGTCCTCAATAGCTATGGCCCCGTTCACATCCAGCAGTTGAGAGAAGGACAACTTCACAGCCTATAAATGACAATTACGTAAGCGGGTCACTGAAAGGGAGCAGCCAAGCTAGCTAGATGAAGCCAATAAAATGGATTACTTTTGACTGGTTTGATTGAGGTTTGTAAAAAGGATACCCCCCCCCCCCCTCCACTCTCCTCAAGGTTTGGTATCCACAAGCACAGAGGTTTGCTATGGAGAAGGTTTAATTGTTTTGCCGAAATACATGTTCAGATACAGGTCGAGAGAAAAGGTAGAAAACAAATTACCGTAAACAAATCGCCAGTGGGTACTTATGTCATAAAAATTGAAGTGTTCTTCGTGAAATGCAGTTGATGTTCTCATTGAGCACACTCATTACAGATTGAGATACATGTTCGAGCCAGTTATACCAATGTGATACACACAACTACACTGCTCATTTGAAAATTCCTGGTGGTATCAATCAGGGTTTACTTGGCATAAACTAGCATCACATCAATTCATTTTTTTCCTCAAATATGAGTTTCTGGTCTGCTGTGCTTTAAAAAAAGATTGGTTGTTTAACACAGTATATAAACAAGTCTTAAAAACTTCTAGGTGCCGCCTTGTGTCTACCCATGGCTTTGCTGACATCAGCCAATGAAACTTATCCTGATCTATTTTTAGCATTTGACGGAATGAGTAACCAGTCTTAATTTACCCCATTATACACCGTCAACGAAACAGGCGAGCTTCAAATTAGAAATTCGATAACTGCTATTTTTGACTTGAGACAGACATTGCGAAACAAAATGAATATGACATTTTCTAAAGATAGTATTCTTTTCCAGGAGTTTCCATGGACAATTCTCCAAAATTACAATTCCAGGTGTCTCCAGGAATTCCAGGTGCAGTACAAGCCCAGTATGCACTAGTGTCAAACCAATGGGCTATATTGACCAGTGGTCAAATAAAACTAAGGGAATTCAAGCCACGTAGTCTATGATCGCATTCAGAACAGCAGTCTTACAGATCCGCAGATCAAATGTGGCCAACCCACTTGAATGCTTGTTGCATAATCTCCATGGGGAATCTATTCAGTGTCTCGTTGGGAATTTAAAAGCGGCAAGCATTTTAGTGGGTCACTATATTTGATCCACAGATCTGTTAGTCCACTGTTCTGAATGAGCTCCATAACCCAGTATGTTAGACTATTATGACAACAATTCCAAGGGCTTTAAAGAAAGTTGATCATAAAACTCTGCTTGTTTGGAAACAAGTTTTTCATCTATTATTCACTAAATGTAAATATTGGGAGGCACTCACTAGTAGGATTGGAATAGAAGCATCACTTGAATTGTAAAATTGTTTAGCAGTTATCATTTTCAGAAGAAAGGGAATTCTTGAAAAGGCTCGTCGATTCTTTATCTCTCTTTGATTTGTTTTACTCTATAATAAGCACTAATAAACTAATGAAATTAATGAAAAAGTACAAGTACATAGAGAAATAATGAATCAAGCTATTCTGCCCTAAAATTGACAATGTTAATTCATTGTAATTGAGAAATAAGTAGAAATCTTTTTAAAATCTTTCAACATACTGCATTTTAACAAATTTGGTAGCCACTCACTACTTCTTAGGTTAACACCACGATGTCGGTCAGTTGCTAAATGAAAGTTCCAGTTTCAGAATTCTTTATATTACATATTTTCAAATATTCTAGCAGTGGAACTGTTACAATTATTCATTATGCTAACTGACTGCGTGAAGATTTGTAAGTATCATGGTCATCAGTTAAAAATGAACCCTACACATTGCCTCAACCTTTTTCTATTTCCAAGAAGACGTTAATAACACAGTGTGTGGGTGGCTGTCATTTACCTTGGCATGAAATAACCCCATTAAGTAAAATAAAAAAGATAGCTTACATAAAACAGAAGACATAAATCACAGCCCATGGAACATTTTACTTTTCTGTTTTATTTTCGCTTTCATATTAAATAGCTAAATTATCTGTTTACGCAGATTAGGTGTAATGTCGGAGAGTTAAAATACATATACAGGGTCTGTAACATCTGTGGTATATGTCCAGCCTGTAACTATCCATTTCAAAGGGGGATTCTTATCCAGGAAAAGTGGACTTTCCGACCCCACTCCCAATAGTTGGCCCAACTTGAGAAATGACATGAAACCTGGATCAAACCTTGATTCAGAATGAATCTATTTCAGCCAAAAAAAGGGAGGTACTTTCAAACCCCCCCCCCCCCCCCCTCCAATACTAGAACAGATTTTTGCACAGAAAATGACATCAAAATATATATCAAATGAGACCTGTTGGCAAAAAAAAAGAAATTCAAAATGTGTAAGAAATGATCAATGCTCCTCCTGGGAATGAGGAAAAATGACCAAATTTGATCTGAAATCTGAAATATATCGTGTTCAAACTACATGTAACTTCTAACTATTGAAAAGACATGACTTTTTTTGTGACACTGATGGATGGAAGTTTTAGAAATGTGCTGCCACAGAAAAGGGCAAGGGAACTTCTCAGGTTCTAACAAAAAAAAAACATAATAATGTAACATATCTTTGGCTTACTCTGATTGTTTTTTTACATCTTCAGAAGAAATGTCATCCTTCTAACATTTCTTTTCCAAAGTTTAACTAAATCTGTTTATTTCTCAAGTCAGCTGACCTAGTCAAAGCGGCAGATGCTGTTGGCATAAGAAATGTGCTCCAAGCTAGATAAAACAGCCAAACTAAAAGCTGAAGCTGCTCAGATTCAACAGCAAACAATAAGTAATCATATTTTGCCAACTCAGATTGTTTCATACTTCTTCACAAGAAATGTCAATCTTCTAACATTTCTATGCCAAAATCTTATTGGATTTGTTTTCCATTACGCCAGTTGACCCAGTTGCTTAACGTAGCAGACGACCGACTGAACACTTCCTCTGATACCCTGGCAATGCATGTCATCCTTAAGAAACTGTAGAGGTTTGGATATACACTGGTCATTGTTCATCACATAAGCTGTCCTGCCATGCCTTGTTACCAAGACAACACAAAGAAAAAATTGTACTGGGTATATTGTCTCAATGGAAGTACAGATATCCTGTTGATGACCATGCTAGACAACTGAACAATAGTTTATAACAGCTACCTGGTAACACGTGCCCAATGATCGGTCAAACATGGGTTAATCGCTTTAAAATCAATCAGTCATATCAAAATTACCTACATAATCCCCCTTCCTCCACCAGCCCTGGACTTGCCTAATATTCTTCACACTTAAAAAAAACATAAGCATACACCCAATGATGATGTCTTTATTAAGAGCTGAATACCTGATGGGCAACATGGGAATATCTCATAATCAGCACTTTGTTCGAAGCCTCTCCTTAATGATTTTTACTGTAATTGTCACTGTTACAGGTCAGAAAACATCCATCAAATTATGTTGCGCGTTTGACAGGCTTTTTTTTCCTCCATATTTCTCTGCATTCCCAATCCACTTGATCATGGAGAAAACTTAATCATAATTTTCTTTAACTTTAACCCCAGGAAATTTAACCTATATTTATATACCCAGGATTTATCAGCGGTTACATCCAACTAACTGATACTTGGATAAATTATAAAAAGTGAGATATGGTGAAAATCCTTAACTTCAAGTTACTTTGCTTTTCAGAATTCCCACAGATCTTGTCCTAACTTGTTTCTTAAAGTGAACACCAGCCTTTGTGACAGACTAGGTAGAACCCTTGGGTATGATGCAGTGATATTACCTGAATCAGTGTGATAGAGATGCCAATATGCTACAACCACACTCTGCAGTGCCTTGACTTGAAGCAGCATTTCTCGTTTCAGTGACAAAACTGAGGTTAGAACAACTGCAGACAGGTTCTAGCTTTGTCACAAAGATGTGACTACAACATTAGCAGCCATGGTATCCTGAACATATCCTTTCTCTTGTTATCCCCCCTCACCCCCACCCCCTCTACCCCTATAAAGACTCATCATCCTGCTATCACCTTCTCTCCCTACAAAAAAAAAAAAAAAAATGAAGCACTGAAGTTCAGATTATGTAAAACAGGTGATCTGATCTTGGCTGCGTTCGTATTCTTAGGACACAGGCTTCCTCTCTTCAAATTAAATAAGGCTTCCTGCTGCTCTCTTCATAACATGTCGCTGCCATCCGCAGGATATTACCTTAAAATTGGTAACAATATACTCACAGTGTTAATCACTCAATGGCAATTAGCTGCAACTAATATCAAAATGTGTAACACTTGCGAAACAGAAAGAAATTGCATCAACAAGGTGGCAAAAGGAATAAAAACATCACTTTATGGTCCAGGATGATTGGGGGGGGGGGGGTCATTTAAGGCACAGTAAGATTGGATGCTGTGGTTTCATTTCCTAAAGAAAGGATATGAAAATAATATTTGGGTTAAACACAATACCACTGCATGATCAAGATTAGAAAAATTTAGATAGGCTTTGAAATATTGGACTTGGCTGTTCTTTCCTGTTTAATTTTGAATAATTTTAAGCTTGCCCTAAAAAAAACATTCATTCCTTTCATTAATGATTTCCTAAACTCTTTAAAGATATTTGTTATTGTGTATTTACATATAATGTGGTATCTCCATGTTTACTCAACTTTGAATTTCATAATTACCAATTATTTTTCAGTGTTAATGTGAACCAAATCAGCAACACAAAGGCACAGATAAGTACTGATGAAGAACCATGCCACTGTTACTTAAACACTCAACCCATCAAGCAGCAGCTCAATTAAAGACGGAGAGACACTTACAGCACACCCACAGACCATATGGCATCAAAAGAAAATGATTAAATACAAAAAAGTACCAATAAATCCAAGGCAGAGTTGTATTTGTCCATGCTGAGGATGTGAATTTTTATATTGTACTTGGAAATCTAATAAAAGGAGAGGAAATTCACGTTTATCTGCCGAGTGATGGAAAAAAGTAGATCTATTGCCTAAAGGCTTATCATTAAAACAACGAACATGTTCTACCAAGGTAGTGAAGTGATGTTTAAGTAAATAAAGTCTGAAGAAGACTCATGTAACAATAACAAAATGTAATAAATGCGAATTCTGGCACGACAAAAAATATGGCTTTCAATCACCTGTCTACAACTTTCAGAGCCAAGGAATACGGTAAACAATGAATATTTATGCCTTCGTATGAGCAAAAACAAGCTGCATAAGTTAAAACAGGAAACATATTCAAACTAGAGTATGCAAAACATTGCCTTTAAGTTAATTTCCAAGGGAGTTATTAATTTCTGGCTCTTAGAAAGCTGAATGGAAACCAACACCATACAAGTTACTTAATCTGTGACATTTGATATGCAATTACAAGTTGGCTAGTGAGCCAATGACAGAAAGACATGACTCTTCTATAATCTCATCCAATAGGGAAAAGGCAAGGCATAACTTACTGTCTCCTTGAACATGTGTCTCAGCCAATAGGATTAGAACAAAATGCCTATCATCTTTTTACATGTCAGTCCATCAATGTGTCTTTCTATAGAGCTACTAATTCACTTAACAGGAACTTGGTGAGAATATAAACGATAGAGTCAAACCCATAGTGCTACCAGAAACCATTATCAACTCAACGCTGCAGAATGAGAGGCCAAATTGTATGAATCTATGCTGGTCTTGAGCAGAGGAGGGGACTGCAGGTATTGTTTTGTAAAAAATATTTAGTGTATTATTTCATTTACTCACATCGGGTGCCAGGTAGTAAGAACAATGCCTTTATCCTTGCAGTGTTTTGGCCACAAGTGAAACCTTTGGAAAGAATTCTTTCTTCCTTAAAATTGCCTGATCTGTCACAAACAAGGTTGATGACACAACATTTGGTGGCCAACCAATTCATTACAATAGCCATAACACATGAGTTTGCGTGACTAGTGCAGCAACACAAAGCAAATTATTACTTTTGAAATTGTCTCAGCTCTGACAATCATGTGGTGTCAACGCTCTTTCTGTAAGGTAGAAAGTTTAAGCAAATAGCTGTCATGTAAAGACACTCAAGTTACCATAAGTACCAAGTTACTTCAAAGTGCACACAAAGAAAAGTGACCAACTATCTGCTGCTACATCAGCGCTGAAAGGCAGTTCTGTGCGGACAATTTCAAAAATGGCTATCAAAAACGTATCTTTTCTGTACTACTTGAGTGAAAACAATGAGTCAAGCATTCAGCATTTCTGGCATCTACAACAGGAACAAAGTTTGCTGTACAACATCACTCAGTTATCTCACCTAGTGGGGCGTTACCCATGGACTTCTTGCGCTCTCCTCTCCGGAACAAGCACCGATGCCATCTTGGGTGGAGAGTTGCCTGCATTCAAGAACTACATGGACCTGTTGGGGACTCCAATTTTAGTCATTGTAGGCATTATTCTTAATCTCTTAGCATTCATTGTACTGCACCACAAAGATTTCCGTGACTCGTCGACTATGTTTTTCATGGCCATGCTAGCCTTTTCAAATGTAATGACCCTGTCCCTGATGAATGGAATAGGCTGGCTGGTAGAAATGACAGGTTCCCCGAGCATTACAGCCTACCATGACAGTATATGTAAAATATGGCAACTGATTTTACGTGTAATCCCATTTTCATCCATCTGGTTCATTGTCGCCATGATAATAGACCAGTACATAACACTCAAATATGGAAGGCCAAAGGCTCCACAGCAAAGGGGTTCTGCAAGCCTTTGCATGCCACGCCTGGTCACTGTTTCCATCTACGTCGGAATGACGGTGATCAATATTCATGCCATGTGGCTCTTTGAGGTTCTCACTCCGAGAAACATGTGCCAGATTCCCAGCGAGCATGATGCAATTTACGTGACAGCATGGAACTGGGTGTCCGCGACGACCTCCGTCTACCTTCCCATCCTGCTACTGATCATCTTCACTTTCATTCTGATTGTCAGACTGTGCCATTTCAAAGAGACTGGCTTTTCTGTGGAGGACTGGAAGGTGTGCAGAGCGACAGTAATTGTCTCCGGGGTTTTTCTATTGCTGTGCCTCCCCCCGACTGTTATCAATATACTCCAGCACACTCTAAGGGGTCCCCCAGCCTGACTTGACCCTGGCCTGTGCCGCATACGTGGCCAGCTGGTGCCCCCTGTTCAATATAGCACTGGATTTCTTCATCTACATCATCTTTGTTCCCAGATTCGGTAAACAGCTCATCAGTTTCATCAAGAGAAAGAAGCTAAACCGAAGACCATCGGAGAAGTCTCCCCATAACAACCTCCCGAAGATTGAAGTGACTTGTGAAATGTCTACCCCAGACCCCAACGAGGATATAAATTCCAATGATGGTCTAGAAAGTCTGCTAAAAGCTGAGACCAATGGCAGTAAATCGCCCCAGAGGACTATGTACGCACCTACCAATAATACCACCAATGAATCTGGCAGCACTGTGACTGTTTGGGTCCACATGGACGAATTGAAAAACTCTGTGATCAGTAGCAACTGCAGTCTAAACTGCAAAAGTGAAAGTGACATTGTAGTTTCCTCTGTTTGATATATACATATATATCAAATATATATATATACTGGTATATACATAAATTCTTATACTTTAAATCAATATCCCATGAGTAGTAGCCCATAGGCCTCATGAGATGTGATCTGCATCATGACTTAATACCAGAACAGGAAAACTTATTTATCATTCAATTAACGAAAACTTGCCTATCAGGTGAGTTTTTCTTGGCAACAAGTAGGAACAGGTATTTAAAATATCTAGTGGGTATAAAAAGTAAAATGAGTATGTGAAGAATGCATTTAGTGAATTAAGATTAAAACCGAGAATAAAAGAGTGTTATGAGTTGAGGTTTATGATGCCAATCTTTATAACTTGTATGTTAAGTTATGGAGTTATTAAGTTTATAAAAATACAACTATTACATCGAATTGGCCTTGTGCTGTAAATATTGGCTAGCCCCAATAAAATGATATGATATTCATATGAGTATTATGTAATGAACAGGTCTGTGTAATATGCAGCATTTCATAAAAGGAAAATGCTAATCAAAATGTGTGCACCCTTTTTTTAAGGGTAAAATTCTACATACCAGTACCTTGACTATCATGTGGTATACCTGTATGATTAATGTAAACTAACATGTGCACATCAAATATGCCAATTCAGGCCCGTAGCCAGCAATTTCAAATGGGGGGGGGGGGGTTCGTTTTCTGAAAAAGTGGACCTTTTATCATAAAACCTTCTTGTACCTACTAGATCAAATTTTATCCAGAGTGGATCGGAGCAAAAAGGGCGGTTCTTTCTAACCCCCTGAACCCCCCCTGGCTACGGGCCTGCAATTGCAATCACAAGGCATGGGAAATTTGCAGCCAACTAATCTTGACATATTTAAAAGGAAACATGATAATGTCTAATGATTTAGGAATTCACTGCAATGTTGAAAACAATTCTTTAAGAGAAAGGGATAAACGTGTTAGGACATTGTGTTATGTGACACCGTAAAATCTGTGACAATATTACACCAACATTTGTAGCATAATGTTTTATGCCTAAATATGTTATATATTATTATTATTATTATTATTTTAATGTACCTATTTACGACTCTTTTAAACTTTTTTTGTTTGTTTGTTTTGGCTATGATTGGCTTTGAGTATTCTTAGTAAAGTACTTTGTCAACACTTGCTTTGCAACACTGGAGTTAAAAAAGTCCTCTCAAACTTCAAAGCTTTTAATTATGCAAGAGTAAACACAAATGTCAGTCAGTCAGTCAGTCAATGGTCTATAGTATGATCACCGTCTTGTCTCATTTGAGAGTTTTTTGTGAAATTGCATGGTTTTCAGTATAAATCTGATGTTGTCATTACTTAGCAAAAGATCTGTGTATCTTGAAGAAAGGTGGCAAAATTGGTGTCATGGTGTAGTATTATTCATATTTAAATAATATGCTTTTTGTCTTAACCCAACTGAAAATGTTCACTACTACTAGTCACTCATTCATCAGGACTCCCCATAGATTGGACACACATCTTTCACTTGTATTTTGTGGGACATTACAATATAAAAAATATCTAACAAAATCAAAACAAACTATCTTTTAAATTATAGTTAATTTAAATTTGGATGTTGAGAATTAATTTCAGTCTTGCTTTCCCCAAATATTTTGACCTGAAAATGATAAATTATCTAGAATTTCTTTTCATCAAGCAGAATTACAAATTTAAACTATTTATCTTCAGATGCCAGACCCCATAGTGATCTGAACTTTTCAATGAACATTGTATATGTACAGCATATATTGTGGAGAACAATTTTCCTTAGCGCCGTTGCGACATACAGTTTGATCTAGCACTAAAATATTCACAATAATCATACAAGGAAGTCCTTTCCTTAGACTCAGAAAAAGAAACATGACATTGAATTGCAGGTTATAAATAAAATCCAGAACATAACAGAGAATAATCTCAATACTAGGGACAAAATCCTGCCCTAGGCTTAGCAAGAATAAATGATTTAATCTTTCCAATGGGAAGAACTGTAAATTTTTCTTACACCCCCCCCCTACCCCCCCCCCCCCCCCCCCGTGCACCTCCTGGTCAAATTATCTGTATTTTAATGAACTGTATTTTTTAAATTTATAAATTTTAGAATTCATAAATTTTATAATTAAAATACTCCTATTTAGTGGTAGCAACAAAATTGAAAAGTAGACTACCTTACAATTCCATTCTGTACTGACATACATTTGTGAAATGCCAAATGTATTTTTAATGATGCTAAAGAGAACTGAAAACTTGATAATTTTTCACCAAAGAAAAGACAATCATTCTGTAAATATAAGTTTTTTTTTTCTTGGACAAAAGTGGGCGTTTAGATCTACAGCATAATATGGAAGATATTCTTCCTTTGTCTCTTTGTAAACACTCGCTCTAAAAATGTTGGCTAACAGTATTTGTAGTATATTGTCCCAATCGCAAGTAATAAAATGCCTACTTCATGTCTAGAAAGAGGCTGCAAGAAGCAGACCATCTTTTAACAGAATAAATGAAAAAGAAAAAAAAAGCCCTTAATTCTGTTTTGGATTATTATTTTTTTTGTATTGACATGGACGTTGACGTTGACTACATTGTTGAATCAAAACTTATAGATACACAGTGAAAAATTTTCCTGTGAAAAATTCATACCTAATGAGTTTTCCTGGGATAAATGTCACTTACTGCCGACTAAAAAACCTTTGATCCCACCTTAATATCTTGACAATGGCTATAACTCTGTAACAATCTGAGAAAATTAAAAAAGTCCTTAGGCCTGGGCTTTATTAATTCTATGATAATTCTATGATAAATCGCTGATAATTCCACCATATCTTTGAGCACTGAACTCTGGGTTGCATGCAATTCAAAACTATGTCAAGATGGTTGACAAGTGGCATTTTTAAGATGTGTTTGGTGGTGATAATTTGAACCAACTTTGGCAAAATTTATTCATGACATTTATATCATGAAAATTGATCAAAAAATATTAATTGTCCTCATATAAGTTCTACAAAAAGTGGTAACTGTACTTGACTTGTGTTCAAAAACTTATTTTCCATCCTTTAAAGATGCCAGAGGCAACACAACATAGTCATCTTAATTAGTGAAATAACACTAAAATACAGGATGGTAGTTGGGAAGGGGAGGTTGAAACAATCACCTTTTTTATTGGTATCGGTCTAGGTTTTATGCCACCATTTCTCAAGTTTGATTAACCAAGAATTTAAAAAATATCCACTGTCTCAGAAAAAGACCCCCTGCCCCTTTGAAATTGCTGGCTACAGGCCTGAAATAGAACAATTTTTTGTGAAGTTACGTTTCTAAAGACCTGCAAGCAACCACATGTTAAAAAAATAGCATGGAGGTGTGATTTGTAAACAGGAATAAAAAAAAAAACAAATGCAGATTATTTGTCTATTTTGAGTGCAATGCCTTACATTTTATGAAAGAAACAGACATTGGGACAAGACCCTGACAAACTAAAAAATTTATCATTTAAAAAATTTCTGAAGTTATACGATATGTCTCTTTCACTGTTTGAAAAAGCTCACAGGGCCACTCAGGGGAGGAAACGTGATGGAGCATCTAACATGGTCAGGTGGTTCACCTTGAGATCGGGGATCGGGGGTCACCCTAAATTGTGGCATCATGTGGGATCATCTTGAACTTCCAACAATCTACTAGTATCACCTTTGGTAAACTGAGTGAAGCAGACAATAGCAATGCCTAGTCACCTTTTCTAGAACAAATTTTCATGCAGCAAAATAGGGTTTTCGTTGACTCTTGTGTAACGATGATAAAAAAGTATATTGTTTCTAAAGAAAATAAAGAGGTTTCATAACTGGGACATGAAAGGGAAGGGGTCTTGATCACAAGACTGATGTTTTTCTACCTACAGAGCCCTATTCTTTTCCACACAGATAATGTCTGCTTCCATTAGACACCTTTTTAAATTCTCTTTTCTGTTTTTTTTTATCTTGTGTCTTGATTCTACTGTCTTTTATCTGTCTTATTTTAGTAAATTTAACAAAATTTAATCTTTAACTTGCAGTGATATAAAAAATGATGCCTGATGTTTTTTTTATTGAATTCTGCTCACCTTCTAGATCGTTAAAGAAAGCATTTACGTAATTTGAGCAATTTGCAAATGTCAGTGCACTTTCCACTCATAAATATCCAAAACACAATATCATAGAACTAGCTTTTTATGAACTTTTTCCAATAACACAAAAGCACTGACGTAAATAAAATTAATTTCTCACTGGGTTTAATTAGCAGTTCACTCATTTGAACTTTATTGCTGTGTGAAATGAAAAAAGGGTAATGCTGATGCAGGCTATGAGGCAACAATTTCAAGAAAGGAGTAGGGGTATACTTCTGAAAAAGTGAAACTTTTAAACCCACATTTGACCCAAAGAAAAGACTTAGAATCTGTATCAAATTTTGATTCAGAGTGGAATTTTCCAGCCAGAAGGGCAATTCTTTCTCTCCTCCCCTCCCCTTCTTGATTAGAGCCTGTAACCTCTCTATATTCAAACACATTTGCTGAATAATATTAAAAAACACAATATTTGATATTTTGAGCTGTTAACATTTTCTTATCGTGATATATGTGAAGCTATTAGGGTTGTTTATGGATAATTGATAGCTAGCTCATTATGCCACTGGGTTCAAATTTAAGATTCTGAACTTATGTCTTAATCAACATTTTAATGTATAAAACCTTTTTGTCAATAAATCATGGGTTGTCTTTCTGTACATCAGTGTTAAATACATTTGTTTAAAATTTTATTTAAAACAACTGAACTTTGTATGGATTAATATGCAGTGTGTGCCTGTAAAACTAGTGATTCTTGGAAACTATTGTGATATTCATTTAATACATTGGTAATA